TATACGGGTATGCACAGTAAGACCTGGTTGTTCATATCTCGTGACAGTTTTTGCATTGTACTATCTTCATCCCGCGCTTTCAGGGCGTGGTGGTCGAAAAGCAACCAACACAATTTAACAGCTCGGTTAATTTTGAAACACTTCTTTGTTGTTAGTGTTGGCTCAAGTCTAACAAAATAGAGGCAGAGGTGATTTAGTTGGTCTATGGGGACATTTATACTGTTTCTAACTTTGTGGTCCCTTTTCAGAAGCCGCAGCCCTTGAAATATCTTTTACATCTAACCTATGATGTTGTGTCGCAAGACAACTCTATTACGCACGTTTGTTCCAACTGGTATACGTGACTGTTGGCTATAAATGGTTTATTATTTCCCTGTAAGTGTCGAGTTTTTGGCGTTATTTTAACATTTGTCGTTTGCCAGAGATTTTATTTCGAAATCTTCTGTTTTTAAGGCTTCCTTTAAAAACTTGATCATGGCTGGATCATTATTCACATTTGGCACGAAAATTGGAGGTACGGTGTTTTTTGGAGAGGTTTTCTCATTGTTTTCTGTTGTGCCTTCTATATCAAGAGCACTGAATTCATTCTTGGTGGGAACTGTATATACACTACTATTACTATCGCAAGACGCTCTCTTTTGCCTTACCCTTCTATTAGCATCAGGGTCGAGGACGTCAGGTGTTTTTGACCGAACTGGTGTGTATATTTGCCATACATTCTGCGTCAGATTAACGGGAGCAGATGAATCATGATCCATGGCGTTGCTGTCGCTGCCTGTTGATTCTTCGGATGACATTTGTTGAAGTAAACAGCTTTCCGGGTGTCAGTAGCATGCAATCGCACTACATGCTACTGATCCTACCCGAAAGTACTTCGGTAATCGACGAGTTTTAGTATAGGTTGTCTTTTGTTAGGTTGGTTTGAATATGAAGAGAATGAAACACTGTTATACTTTACAATATAACTGTTCACTTAGAGCTAGTGCGCACTGGTTATTATCGCTAGACTTTTCCTTATCTTGGCGCCCTCGCGGGCGAGCAAGGTACGACACTACGGAGCTGCGGGCACGATCCGCACACCATAGCGGTCAGGCGAGTACTGAAAATATAAATGATATATTCTTAGTGGTATTATCTTTTGTACGAGTGTTCGTGTATTGCTGTATACAACGGTGCCATTAAAAACTCCCTAGGAATTGTAAAAAAAAGTCAACGAAGGAATTTCATTTAACTGACCCGGCTGTTTCTGAAAATAACGAAGTGAAGTTTACGTGCATCGTGTTATCTTTTGTTCTTAATGCTTGTTGCAATTAATCGATCGTTACGTATTTGCTTATTTTGATTAAAATAATGCTGATTTGCAGAAACTTTGTTGACGTAGAAATCTCTCGGTAATCTCCCGGTTTTTAAATTGGTGAAATTATAAATAGTGAAAAATTTTTTGGAAGGAGAAGCAACTTGAAATCAGTGAGTTAGCTTACTTTTCGTATTAAGTACTCTAGTCCCGATTTTCTTGTGTTCACGACGGGGCTATTACTTCAGTCGTGTTAATTACAGTCTTTAAATGTGAAGTTAAATATTTTAAAAACTTAATAGAACTCTACATCACCTGTCTTTCCTAAATTCATAGAATGCTAAAATAGCTCTTAAGAATTTTTTTTCAATGCTCGAAATCAGTTTTATTTCATGTGTAAATATATTCATCTGAAAATAAAAATATGTGTAAATATAAAACCACTTTTTCTTGCATCAGACTAAATTCATATTAATGTGTAATAACTTAATCTAATATATTAATTGTTGATATATGTTCAGTAATTTTTGTCTGAGTACGATGCAGAATGTTATGGTTCACTATCAAACGTTTAACGCAAGGAAAGGCAATTTGCTGAAAAGAAAGATTATTTTTAAAAAAATGAAATTTGATTTTTCAGGTAATAAAAAAATGCTATTTTGATCCTGAATTAGCGTCCATCTCCATTTATTTTCGGGGAGATGAGTTTTCAGGTAAAGAGACTTACAACTTCATCATATTTTAAAAAATAACTGGTAAAATTGGAAAGAATCCATTTTGGCCCAGATATAAATTGACTTTTTTAGAACTCCTTTGACATCTGTCACCACACCACACTCTCGGCAGGTCTGTATCTCTTAATGCAGAATCTCTATCAGAACAGATAAGTAAAATTTTGATTGATCCGTTTGGTTAGCCTATATTCAGAAATGCAGGAAACATCACAAAGGATTATGAGCTATATAGAATATATGGAAAGTTGAAAAGAAATATTTATTTTATCAAAATAAGGAATTAGAATTATTTTTTCAACATTAATTAGCTATAGTAACTTGAAGTCACTGTAGTAAAATGCACGCACCATGAAACATTGAGCGCCTCAACAACACCTAACATCGCTATGAGATGTACTTAAAGCACAACCGTAATCATAAATAATTCTATGAAAAAAACTATTTGAAAACATTTTCTTCGCCGTCTTTTTTCCTAAAATATAGATGACTTGAACAGACACGTTTCTGAAAAGAGAAAATTCAGAAGTGTAACGACCAACTTCACGACCTTTCACGTGTATCTGGCCCGTGAGTTCTTAGTCACCGGCTCAAAGGTATCAGCAAATTTGATTTAGATGGTAAATCAGCAATGGTTTCGATCAGTTGAATTATAGAAATGCAACAAAACATATGAAGAATTGAAGCAATTGCTTTGCCATTTTTTTACGAATTGTAACCACAGGCTTGTAAGATTTTACAAACGTTGACGTTATCTATATAAATATGCCTCGTTGCATGTTTTTCGGAAATCTTGTGAAAAAACTTTGTTTTCTAGTACACTGGTACGCAGGAATGCGCCGAAAGTTTCTCTTTCAATGCATTTCTCTCTGTGTCCATGATGACTCAGTTTTGAAGTTTTGAAGGCACCATTTTTTCTAGACCAGTGACGATGTTGTAAAGACAGTAAGTAGTCAATTCAATGTTTCGGTTTGATATTGAACTATTGCATTTAACCGCAAAAGTACTATGTTTCAAATATCAGTAATGATTCGATTGTTGTAATGATTAATTGTCATTGTCTTCCCAAGTATACTGCTAAGACATTTAGTTACTGCTAATACAACATGTAATGACGTTGATTAGGCGTTGCAAGTCAATAAGCCCTTCCATTGAGTGTCACACAAATGAGTACTACTGAAAACTTGTTTGCCAAGTTCATCCGCTAACCAACGGCATAGTTCTATCCGTTCTTTCGTGCTCGCCCCGCGCCCTTGAGTCAAGCGGAGAGGAGCTGACGACGTGCGCTGCCGCGTGTCCGCAGGTGCGACGCAGGGATGCGTGCGGAGGCGCCGCCGCCGGGCTCCCCCGCCTCCCCGAGGCCTGGCTCCCCTCCGGGCCCCGCCTGCGCGCCGACGGCCGCTCCCCGCCCCCGCTCGGGCTCCACGTCTTCTTCGGACGGGTCGAGCACGCCCCGGCACAGCGACGGCGGCGATGCTGCATCGCCCTCGGCCCACGGCGCCGCCATCTTGGCCTTCCGCTCCGTGGACCTGAGCGGGGCGCTGGACGGCTCCGGCTACTGCCCGCAGAGCGAGCCCGTCAAGCGCAAGGTGTACGCGGGGAGCGCCACGCTGGGTCGCCTGCAGAAGTCGCTGGAGAAGAGCCAGCATCATTCGCTGCGCCTCAAGGCCGAAGCCGGTGCGTGCAGCGCCAGCTCGCGTCATTAGCCTCTTCCTCTCCGCAGCGCCTTTTAGCTTTCCTCTCGCTTGTGTTTTCTTTCCTCTTTCCACGCGTACTTTACGCCTTTGCCATTTGCCTTTAGCTGGGATCCGGACCTATCTTTTCAGATTTTTATACTTTTGAACTCCAGGCCATTTTCAGATCCTTCTTTTATCATCATATTTGTACGACTCTTTTCCCTAAGTAGCTATTTCTTTCTCCAATACGTTCTCTTCAGTACATCTTAACAACAAATAGGTTTTCAAGATGTACAGAAATATTCCTCAGATTCTGTAATTCGCTGAACACTTCGGGAGGTTTCCAATTCAAACCAAACTCATGATTTTAGTTATTAAAATACTGTTAAAATATTTGAAAAAGTACATTTTAATTTATTATTATTATTATTATTATTATTATTATTATTATTGTGGTCGTTTTTTTTGCTACTGTTGATAAACATGTCATGCATGAATATCGTAAAGTAATTATTTAAGGGTGCGACGAGAACTTGCATATTGCTATACTACAGCAGGTAGTTCGTATTTATTCTGATCAGGTCTGGTAGTAAACACAGTCTATCTGCCTTTTCGAAATTTATAAAAATTGAAGATTTTTTTCTGTTATTTATTATTTATATCTTTTACTTTGGCTGCAATACGAAACGATAATTTATTACACAAAAACGGTCTCAAGCGAGACAACAAATTTTCATAGTGATATAACGATAGTTCTATTGTAAACTTCGGGAAGGCATGTACGAGTTATTAAAGTAGTATTTTTACTGAAACCGCCTATCTAAAATATAAATTTAATCTCAAATTTTCGGAATATCTTATTTGTGTACATAAATGATATAACTTTAAAAAATATTAATAATTCGCTTTTAAAATTGTTCAAGAGTTTATCAAATTTCGGTGTTGATAATATTTTGAAATAGTTAACGCCGCTCAATTCCTGTTAGCGTTTTCTAGTATTCGTGAAAAAAATTATTAATTATTTTTGACAGAGAAATTCACCGGATCAAAATAATCAGCATCCGCTCTGCAGAGCAGCCACACAAAGCACCGCGTTCTCCTTGTCTGATTATGTCCTCGTTAAGCGCTTCCTTCACCCTGTCAGCTGCATCTAGCGCGTAGGTCAGAAATTGCTACGCCGGCATTCAAGTTGGTATCTTCGAAATTCCGGGCAACGAAGCTGCAACTACGATCAATGCATTCGCGCGAGCGAAAACACTGATAAGACTGGGGAGAGAATTGCTCCTTTGCTGTGGTGGTTTTTATATTGTTGGTTCAAAATGCACAAATCTCAACAATTTTTACGTTAAAAAGTAATGGACACTACAAAGTATCATCATAATTATTGGCGTACAGGCCATTACGGACCAGTATGCAAATTTTTCAGGAGCAGTTTTTCAGCTGTTTCCCTTGATACCACAAGGGTGTTACGGGTCGAAGTGTGAACTATGAGATGATAGGATAAACATGAGGGGTGAAGGAACACACAAATACGACTATGACTACGCAGGACCCGAACCTGCAGCCTCCTCTTTGCAGACGACGGCTGCCACAACCGTCGGCGCCACAAGGCCGGCATATTTTTGCTATTACTATTACTACTACTACTATTATTATTATTATTATTATTATTATTATTATTATTATTATTATTATTATTATTATATTGTTGTTAATATGATTAGTTCAGTAATATAAATTGTTGAGCGCTGATAATGCCAAAGTAAGGTGAATTCTGCTCACCAATCTGAGGTTTTGCTCTCTTATTTCTGGAAAATTCAAAAATATACCGCGCCGAACTTGGTATCTTTCAATCAATATCGGCTCGTGTTTCCAGAGTCATTTTGATGACTTCCAAGTTGCAGGGTCTCTTTTATTTTCTGAAAGCCTGCCTTTGTTTCTCAAACAGAAGTCACCAAGCGCCTAGACATGTAAATAAACTCTTTAGGAGGAATTACTTTCTATTATTACTTAAATCACTAATATCAGAGTGAATTTAAGACATTTTTAAAATATCTTCAGAATTAGATCGTACAAACACGTACACAGATAAATTTGACGGCAAAAAGAATACGTACCTAGCACACGTAAACAAACGGAAATCCGAATGGCCACGACTTTGTATGTAAACAAAAGTCACGTAATATACTACGTGTGAAGTGTGAAAAGGAAGATGTAATTTATTCAGAAAAAGAGTGATTTTTCAGAATTATTTTGTACGTAGACTCTCCTCATAAAAAATTGTCTTTTATATTGTAATACATTTCGTATGTTATTAATTATAGTCCAGTCCATAGGTGCACTCGTGGAAACATTAAGTTTCGCGTCGAAAATGACTTGGCCCGAGAGGTTATCGCGATGGACATCCCTGCCTGCCGACAGCGATATCTAACGTTTATGTTCAAAACTACGTTCTCTAGACCGAACTATGAAGATTAAATTCATTTTATTGAAGAGCACAGAAAATATTTTAACGTCCTTAGAGAGCAAAATTCTAATAGTAAAGACGAAAAAGAATTCCATGATTCCTACCCATGAAACAATTGACATTAATTTTTACTTTTTCGTCTTACGAATTGTGCTTGTTGTAATTGCAAAAACATTTCAAAAATCGAATTTGAAGGATTGAGCTCTTCGGAAGGCAGGTTGACTGGTTCGAATCTTAGCTGGGAACTATTATTTGTGACAATTCTGGGCGGGTGCAGGTAATAATTGATAACTACAGAAAAATTATTAAAACCATTTCAAGCAATTCTAATCGCAAATACCATTAATCAAAGCAAATAAACTGGAAGTGTCTGTACGTGATTTTCCAGCACCACTAGTTTTATACGTAATGTTGCGTTCAGGTTTCGATATTATAAACATGTTGTTATGGAAGGAGAGATAGCGCAACGAATGAATTACTCAATGTCCAAGAGTTGTTCCAGAACTGGAAGAGGGGTGGATTCCAGTTCTAGTGTTGGCAGATATTTTTTTACCATTCTGCATTGCCATAAAATCCACTAAATTATAACCTGTATTTGTCTTGTCAATTTTATGCATAAAACAGCCAAAATTCGCTTTCGCGAACAACGTGAATATTTGAAATTGTAATAAATTACAAAATTTATCGCTTGTATGTGAAATTAAAAATATGCATAAAAGAAAAAAACGACGGTACACTGACAGTGAGATAAATAACCATATTACTTATAATAATTATTATATTTCTTATAGGTTAATAATACGATCACAAACGTGTATTTTCCCCACATTTTAGAGAAATTATATTTTTTTAACTGTAGTTTGATTGGTAATTGATTTCGAAAAAAATGTTTTATACAAAAGTTCTTGAAAATGTTATCCTCTTTAAAATTGTATTAAATTATTTGTATACAGGTTTTAAAGTTAAAGAATTATTAGAGAAAAGAAAGAATTAGAGAAAAAACAAAAAAAATCAGAAAAAATTCCGTGCCTGGCTATCCAGCATATCAAAAAAAAAAGTTTTTACGACCTTTATTCAGATAACCCTTCTTCAATACATACCGACTGGACTATTTGTAACAAGTTTTAGTAGCTAGCCGAGTACAAAGGAAATAGAAAACTAATACGGGAAAGTTTGAGCGATTCTGTAGCACCACTAGTCTTTCTTTCTTTCGGGAAAATTTTAGACGAGTCTGTTAACGTAACACGTCTTAAGCAATACGTCGAGAAACGATTGAGAAATCGATTTCGACACCTAATATTGATTCATAGTAAAATCAAATGATTTTAACATGTATCGACATTGCGTAACACGTACTGTCGACACCCGCAATGACGAAGCACTTTTTTTTGTTCCAATGCCTTCCTTCATCCCATTACGCCCCTGCATGGCTTTTTTACAGACTTGTCGCCAGAAGACCGCGGCGGGGCGGGCAGCCTGCAGCTGAAGTTGGCAGAACTTCGGCGCGAGCGGCTGCAAGTGGAAGCGAAGGTTCGCGAGGCCCGGGAGGAGGAGCGGCGCCGCCTCGACGAGCGCGCCCAGGCGCAGCGCCAGCTCACGCTGCTCCGCCGCCAAATGCTCGTGCACACGATTGAAGGACTCAAGCGCAGTTTAGAGGATCAGTCGGCGCGGCTGCACGAAGCAGTGTACGATTCGGCGGCGGACTCCCCCGTGCCCGCGCCGCCGGCCGCCGCTCTGGCAGAGCCGTGATTTCTCTCCGACGCACACGCGCAGCGCGCCACGACACCGCTCCTGCAAGGAGTGACTAGGTTTTACTGTGCGAAGTTTTTTTTCTTTTGCTCTCCCCCCCTCTCTCTCTCTCTCTCTCTCTCTTTCTGTCTTTCTTTCTGTCTTTCTGTCTTTCTTTCTTTCTCAGGTCTTTCTTTCTTTCTTTCTTTCTTTCTTTCTTTCTTTCTTTCTTTCTTTCTTTCTTTCTTTCTTTCTTTCTCAGGTCTGTCAAGGTCTGCACCCTGTTGTAGAACAGAATTAGTTTGAGCCCTGTAGATAGTTCGGAAAGAAGTATTCTCAAGAAAGTTTCGCTGCGGAGGGGGCATTCGAGTGGCTCGTTCGCCAATATCGTTCGCCCGAGGACTGACAAAACGCGCGTGACCGAACAGGTAGGTTTTCCCGGTTACTGTGTCTCAAAATGTCATTCCAGTTACAGTAATAAATCAGTTATGTTGTATATTTCTTGTTTGTTAACTGGCTGTTTTGCTAATCTTCTCTATGTGAATTTTTGTACCCTCTCTTGTTTGAGAACGGTTAGACAATTGTGGGTAATGAGATAGTGACAGATTAAGAAGAGGAAACTATTTTTTTCGGGTAATTTGTCTTCTATAGAGCTCGATTTACTCATCCCAAGGTTTCTTTCAAGTCACAACCAATAAAGAGATTGAAAAGATTATTTCATGAAAGAACGTCCCCAATTTAAACAATGATAATTTTGAATTAATCAACATACGTTATCTCCACAGGTTTTCATCACATTACAAATTGAAATAAATCCTGTATCGTAATTTTTGCACTTTAATATCAGTTCATTTAATACTTTTGTTTGTTAATACTAATACATTAACTGCCAATATGTTCCTTCGTACTCTGAAAATGTACAATGCACACTTTGCCCCAGAGCAGTTCGCTTGTGTCTATCATTATTGCCAACACTGCAGAAACAAAAGAGAAATATTATTAACTATGATATTGTTATTAATGGTATGGAATTGTGAATACCCGTTCAATATAGACGATAGTTCAAACAGCCCGCAAATTTTATGACGAAACATCGTTGCAGCCTATATCTCATTCTGACAAATACAGAACTATTTGGAAGAGAAAGTATCTCCAGATGACTTTAGTTATAAGCTTGATTATTTGTGTACCGGGACATTACTGTTGATTACAACAAAGCTTTAGAATTAAGAAAATTATGAATTAAGAAAAAAATGATAGCACAAGCGTTGTAGGCAAAATTGGTAAGCAGAATTGTTCGCTCTCGTGTAATAAGACTATTTTTGCTTCGAAAATAAACAACAAATTTGATGTAAAATTCCTTTTTCAGAAACAATTAAATTTCCCACTCTCTCGCACTACGAAGCGAGGTGTCAAGAAAACGTGCGCGAATATATATATATATATAATATATATATTATAATATATATTATATATATATATATATATATATACTATTATATATCTGTTTGTAAACATTCTTAAAGAAACATCAGAGCATGAAGTAATTTGTAAGTGACTTGGGGAAATTCTTTGTTTGTGTAAATCTGCTTTGAATATCAGTTCAAATTCCATTATTATATCATAACTTGTATCTCATCCTAAAAACTGTTATTTATTCATCATGCAGACTTGAGTGAATAATTTTGTAGATAACTTAGAATTTGTGGAAATTATATTTTTTTTTTTTTTACTCAAGGAATTACAAAATTTCTTCTGCAATCAGATTCTTGTAAAATTATTATGACCAAAATTCATGTAGACCTGACTCTTTACTTTCTAATATTATGTGATATATCATCAGTCATGCTCTTTTTTATATGGCAAAGATGTTTTCCTAATTTCATTTTTCCCTTAGCTGAAATGCGAGGAATAATTCTTTATTCATTTGAAAGTGACTGCAAAAAAAAATTTGGTGGTTATACCGAAAAAAATCTTCAAACCCCTTTTCATAAGAAACATATTCTAGTCTGTTGTTAAATTTATTTCTATGAGAAATGGCTTGAAAACATAATGATGTTAAATGAATTAAATTAAATGTTAAATGATGAAATAGAAATTTAATACACGAGTCATGTATTTCATGTCATTAGTTGTTTTTCTGGCATAGAATACATTGTTTAAGAAAAAATAATTGTTTCTGGTTTTTGTAATGAGTGTACATTCAATATTTTCTTAAATTATTCCTCACTGCTTTCATTTACGTGTATTATATGTGTTGTGAATGACAAGAAGACTGTGAAGTGAGCTTTTAATCACACTTGGACCACAACATTATACTTGCCAGAATAGAAAAGCATAATTATGCTTATTTAGGAAAACAAATAAATTGCTGTTTGTGAATTGAATATTCCAAGCATCTATATGTAATTTTCAAATTTTCATTTAGTGGATTGAAAGAGATACTATCTCCATTGAAATTCAAAGCCCTGGGAAGTTCCTCTCCTTAAATTTTTGCCTTGCTAATCTGAAACATTGTACCCACTGACCAGCAGCTTTCATTTCCTAACATCAATGCTAATTGGTGCTGGATTTTGAATACCTGCTGCATTACAAGACTGGTCTTCCTCATGTGCCCTGCTCGAAGTGAGAATCTGAGTGCCTCGATCTCGAGTAAGAAGTTAAATTTGCAATGAACAACCTACCCAAATAGACACTTACATCTAACATTTAGAAACAGACCTAGGGCTTAGCCATTCATGCATGTGTCACTTCCTGTCATGATTAGCTCTACCAATGGGTCAAAGCATCCAGTATCTAGATTGAATGGAGTTAGTAGATTTGGTTCTAGAGAAATATAGCAGCAGATATATTATGTGGTCAGATCTACCTTACTGTTGTAGTTCATAGAGAAATATAGAAGACTTCTGATTATTTCATTGAGTGATTTTAGTCATGAACAACCAACAAACACTAAGGGGACAGTAGTTGCATATCACATACTAGAAGATTCTGAATATGGAACCTTTTCAATAGCTTACTCACTGAAGTAATTTCATTTAGACAAACTTTTGATATGTATGCAGAGAAAGAAGTAAGGTAGTTTTGGCAAAAGATCTGCACTTAACCAAAAAATGATTATAATCAGCAGTATTGATTTTATAGTTTTCTGTTATCTCTTCTTTATGTAAACAATATTCGATAACAAAAATGACCTTGAGAGAAAGATTATTAGAAGCGCTTTAGATTCTCTGCATGGATAAAATCATTTTTTGAAGAATAACATGAAATCTAATTCTTTACAAGATTTCAGTGTTTGCAAACAGCTATGGGATATTTATTTAGCTGTTGAAGTATTTATTAATCTCCCTAATAAGAACTCCACAATGTATTTGTATCGTTGTGGAAGTAAGAATTTTCTGGACAATTGTCAGAGAACATAGTTTGCCATTTTGACGAATTGATCACCAACAAAAAAGTCTTCAAAACGTATTGCTTTATTCAACTGAAACATTATGGATGATGGAAAATTCTATTTTTAAAAAATATTTTTGGAATTTATTGATCTTTAGGAGATATTGAAAATTGATGAAAAGTAATTTCACCTACAACATTACCCATGAAATATACAATTCTGCCCATGAAAACTGCAGTAGAGTAACACCAAGTCAAAGTTAAATATTAGTAGAACTTCAATAACAGTCCCCAGTAGCTTATCTATTGATTTGAGAAATTGCCCATAACTGTTAGGTGATCAGTAGAGCTTCCAACATTAGATCATGTGTATTACAGTTCTTTTATATTTGATGAGTCAATGATGTATTTATCATGTGCCACTTGTAGCAATACTCATCAACCAGATGATCATATGTAAGAAACAAACTGAAGTTTGTTTGTTCTGATAAGGTGGACAATTTTATTGACTTATTTCTGGAACAAGCCATTGACAGTTTTTGATATTTTTATCTGAAATTGTGTTCTATTGACTCTTGGCTACCAGGGCAATGGCTGTGATATTAATAAAAAATTAGCCACAAGAACACTGGCAGCGGAGTGGGGGGAATAGCGGCCGAGCCCCCATCCTCTCCCCAAAAGGCCTAGTTTTAGTTAACCTTCCTTTATATAGCAAAATTGATTTAAATATTTATATTTAAATCATGGAATTATTTAAATTATAATATTGTATAGTATCATGTCTAGAGTACAACAAAAATGATTATAACAGAGTATAACAAAAATGTTTATTATTTATCAAAAATCTACAATTCCCCCCATGATCAGCAGCATCCTCTCCTGCACAAGAACACTTGTTGTAGTTTATCTCAGTTAGCCAAGAGCATATAGAAATTGTAAAACCCCATGCAACCATAACTACTAACATCTCAAACAAAATTTTTAGGATATGTGCTATTCCCACTGTAAGTATTTATTAGCAACTTTTAATTGAAATAGAGAATCAGAATAATTGTAAGAATATTCTTTTAAAAATAACAATTATTAATGATTATGCAAGAACCAGGACTATGCAAAGCATGTCATGCTGGTAATTAATGTTTTCAAAATTTGTTTCAATCCTATTGCTTGTTCTTGTAGTATGGTCTTGTAATGTCTGCTGTTTTAAAATGAACAAACTTACCCATCTGTTGTTACATGTTCCAAGCTGCTGGGCAGCTTGAATGTGTTAAAACAGCTTCTGTTGCCCCAGCAGGCTTTTGGACCAGGCAGACAAGATGTAAAAGCTGCCTGTCTTACTTGCCTATTTGTTGTAAAATCATAAAATGTCTGACTTTCCCTGTATATTGGTAAGTGCAGTGTGAGAAATCAATTCTTCGAAGAATTGAAGGTATAGTTTTATTGAAAAGAGTTGACTGCATTTTTCACATCTGAGCTTGTAACTGTTTGAAAGATACAAGATATCTGGTTGGCTTCACTGAAAAATCCTGAAGTTTATACATGTGACTCACTAGAATGGACTAGGCACACAAAGATATATATTCATACTAGTCTAAAATTGTCAATAAAAGTGTATTATTTCTCCTTGGATCATTGTTTGTATGTTTCCATTTTGAATAATATAGTTATGTTGAAGAATGTTTGTTATTATTTATATTTATACTGAATTAATTATTGCATTGTATTTGAATTCTCATGTATATGAACATTATTTTAATCTTTCTTTTGTCTAATTTGAAT